GGCACCAAGTCTACCAGTATGATACCCTCGAAATGAACAAAGGGAAGAGGTGTATACATAAGGGCTCGTTTTTCCGTGTTCTGACACCATAATAATGAAATCTAACAGACAACAATGCCAAGGAAAGTATATGGGAAATTATTAGACCGAACTGTAATGCAATTGTGAAGAAAAAAAAAGTGGGTGAAAAGATAACTTGCCGTGGGCAGGAACTGAACCTAAGACGATGGCCCCTTTATTTAGAGACCGTATACGCCCATATTACAAAGCCCGCTCTGGAGGCTAATCTGTTTCTACGGTAAGCTCCTTTCTTATGTATTTCTACCACCGCTAATTGCTGCTCACTTAAATTGGTGCGCTTACGCAAGGAATATTCGCCGTCCTCTGGGCCATTTAACAACGCCCGAATGAGTTCAAATATTATTTACATCTGCAACTTCACAAGAAGCACTTGATATCCGCATATATAAAGCAGCCGTATGAAGATCAATTATTTCGTTCCCGTAAAATCAGCTTTAGCGGGACAAGTAGTAGTTATTCAATTCATTGCACCTCTCCTTGGCGACCGAAACATTCTAAGAGTACACGTGTTTTCGGAAAGTATGATGTTGGTTCCGTTTGGAGTCTTCATACGGCCACACTACGGCGTCCTGAATTCTGCGGATCATTTGAATTATGTAACTATGGCAGCTCCTATTACTCTATCGACCCCACCCTTTATCTATTCAATTCTTATCATTTACTTATCCTCTAAACTTCCATCTCCATCCTTTATGCTGCTTGGAGACACACGGATAACTTCTAACTTCTACTAATATCATTTCACTTTCACTTCACTTTATTACCTTAAAGGCCCCTTGGTAATGGTTTCACATAAGGGTAGTAAAATAATATGCATATTACAACACCCCACACAAAAAATAGAAATAGAGAAAAATATATGCCCTAAGCATTATTTGCAATATTACATAAGTGATGCGGCGAAAAAAAAAGATACAGAAATGTACATCATAGAGTGTTACGTACGTCAGCACAAATACATATATACCTAAATTATACGAAAGAAAAAAACTGGGAGACCCTTGAACTGCGCCTTTAAGAGTTGAACGTGATAGCAATATTCTGTCCCTAATGCCTACTTCAACGGCTTAGCGCATATTATATATTATTTGATGTTGCTCAAGAAGTTCAGATTGTGGATTACTAAAACTTAATCAATAAAGTTGAAAGTGGCATGTGTCAGTGAAGCTTTCACATGTGGCTGCATTATGTGCAATGGGTAGCATGATTAAAACTACACGCAATTATGCGCGTGAAATCTTCTCGAACTTCCTATGCCCCAACTACGTGGTCTTAAGGATTGCCCAGTAATGTGCGGCCTTTTGTAATGGGTGACTGGCTTTAAACTTGAAGTCAACGATAATCACATGTACTGACGCCCAATGGAAATTTACGTCTGTACCACGCAATATTATGGCGATATTACATTGTTTTATTGTGAAGCCAGTACACAGGACGCGTGTGTTCGTGAAGCATGAAGGTTATTTTCACTGCAAGTTATTTTAACGGTACTTCCAAGCGGACGTGGGGCTGTGTAGTGGAACACCACTTTCTTGCCAGGCAAATGACCTGGGTTCAATCCTCACTCAGGCCAGGAAATTTTTATTCTTTATATTTGCATTCTTGTCCATTTTTCCATCATGTACAAGATTATTTCCCGCTCACAACCAAAGACGCCCACGCCGATGCCGTCACCAATGGCGACGCGGACGCCGATGTTGTTGTTGTTGTTGTTGTTGTTGTTGTTGTTGTTGTTGTTGTTGTTGTTGTTGTTGTTGTTGTTGTTGTTGTTGTTGTTGTTGTTGTTGTTGTTGTTGTTGTTGTTCTCCTATTGTTAGTGGCGCCTACCCACTGTGGGGGATTGGCCAAGAATCGAGTGGTTTTAAAATTTACTGTTCAGATTTAAAATGATGGAGGTTTAACAGAAGATTAACGATAGCCTAGGAAAGTGTGGTGCTTAATGTAATGCATACAAATATTTACATAAACGAATATATTCTTAAAATAGAGCCGATGCCGACGCTTGAATTTCTGCGGGACGAGCTTTTGACGCTTTCGCGCTGAAATTGCACTTTGATTGCGAAAAGTGGGACCCATTTTTTTTTTCATTTTGTAGTGCTGCACGCCCCTGAAATTTCGTTCCAATCAATTATTTCTTTCAGTACAGGCTGCTGTCACTCGCCCTTCCCATATATTTAATGGCACAGGTGTTTTAGGTCGAGGCTAATCTCTGCGTGACTCGTAACGGGTATGTGCCTCAGGAATTGGACATGATGATGAATGAACTTCCATTGAGCCCAAACAATATTGGTGATGAACGCATGCCTTTCTATTTTCACCTCCGGTTCACTAATACGACGAAGTTAGAGCAGTGAAATAGCAATTTGATGCCACCAGTCCCCTTGTCGAGCCCGTGCATCTTCGCAACGTTAATTTAGTGAAGGTACTTCAGTTTTTTTCGAGTGTTTTTTTTTTCTTTTTCTACGCGCGAACAATGGGTTCATACTCACGTGCGTAGCCAGGCCCATGAGGGGCAGAGTCGTTCAGTGCCCCCTTAAATTGTACAATTTGGCTTGTGTGTATATTGTCATGATCGCGCACGTGGGTTTGTTTTCATTCAGCGTCGCAGTCGGATCAAGGTGTTCAGGTGATAAGTGATTGATCGATATGTGGGTATTAACGTCCCAAAACCGCCATATCATTATGAGAGACGCCGTAGTGGAGGGCATCGGAAATTTCGACCACCTGGGGTTCTTTAACGTGCACCCAAATCTGAGCACACGGGCCTACAACATTTCCGCCTCCATCGGAAATGCGGCCACCGCAGCCGGGATTCGATCCCACGACCTGCGAGTCAGCAGCCGAGTACCTGAGCCACTAGACCACCGCGGCGGGGCTTCGGGTGATAAGTCGCCGTCACACATACGCATCATCGGCAATGCATTTGATTTTCCATCTGCCATGATCGCGGCGATGATTTGAAAATGAAAGCATTTCCGCGCCGTGACCGCATTTTTTTGTTCCTCTCTACGGCAAGTGTAACGCACACTGAATTTTTTCCTTAGTGCTGCGGCGTACTTCCCGAGTCGTCCCGGAGCCCAGCCTATCCAAATACAACAGTATATAGACTCCACGTTTGCACAGCGCAACTGGACGTGGACAAGCTCACAGACAGCGCTCACTTTCAATTGAAGACCTTTATTTTCGCGTGCATGTGACGCATATTGCTACGCGCTTTCTTTTTCTTTAGGTTTTGCTGTATTTGGTTTACACCCACAAAAACCACCAGCAATGTTCGGCGCAGACCATGCCTCGATGATCGAAAGGCCTCGCGATTGCAGTAGATTGGTTTGTTTTCTTAAGATAGCGCGCAGGACGTGCACAGCTCAAGCTTTCTTATTTTTAGAGCTTGCGCTACCAACAGTGACAAAGCTGGAAACTTTGATGCGTTATCTATAAATGTCCCAACAAATATCACTTTTTTCACGGCTGACGTTCTATTCAGCGCTATTGCGAAAATGTGTTGCTGCAGTTGGTCCTTCCATTTTAAGGCCACTAGATTGACCGAATAAAGAATTTAATCTTGCACACGCCGACTTCTGGCTTCGTCAACGTCGCAACACCGTGAATATACGTAAGTACATGCGGTAACAGATGAAAACATCACAAAAGAAATATGGAACTGCACCAGTGTGACTGCATGCAGGAACCTTGCGAGCTGCAAAAAAAAAAAGAAATTCCGCGTATTCCACAAAAGATAGTGATGCGTTTGTGGATTGTGTTAAAGGTGCGATTTATTCGGTTTCGTTTTCGTACGCTTGTGCGTACATTGGCCAGACTGGCCGTTGTGTCAACCAAAGGTGAAGGAGCAAAAGAACAACGTTTCGAAATGATTTCCGGGCATCTTACTATTCGCTCTCAAAGTTTTGCCTGCATTCCGACGTTTAATAAAACGACTATTTTTTTCAACAGCGCAAAATATATATTGAGAAGAGAAATCACTGAAGCCCGTGAAATAAAATAAAACGATGAGTGCTTCAGCGTACCTTATTTGTCAATGTCCAGCAAGGAAATGAGATTTTTTTCTTGTGACTGCGGCGAGAAACACGCACCTTTAGGTTCTTGTTTGATATATATATATAAATATAAATATATATATATATATATATATATATATATATATATATATATATATACATATATATATATATATATATATATATATATATATATATATATATATATATATATATATATATATATATATATATATATATATATATATATATATATATATATATATTGTGTGTGTGTGTCCATTTGGCTGGATCAATCAACTAACCGGTCAATGCACTGTGGTCAATATGCGTACACACGCACACATATAAACAAACGCACAAAGACACACAAAATGTGACTGACCACCCCCGATTCACCACCCAGGTATTTTTTTTTTTTGCTACAGCCCTGTACGCAGTTCACAATGAACGAAAAAACTGCCATGCTGAAAGGTTGCTCAAACAGAATGGCCATAACACATATTTAGCATGTACAGACGGGTTCACGGCTGATGGGAACACTTGCATGCAGGTCATGTCCGGATTTCGCTCTCCTGCAAATGCATACTGGCTTGCATTCACATTAGACTGTGGCACTAGGGCATTATGACTTTTTTTTTGCGTAATAGTGAAACGCAAAAACAATCCTACCTCATCCATTTGCCTTCGGGGGGGGGGGGGGGGGGGGGGCAGCAGTTAGTATAGAAAAAGGCCATTCGAGTGTTGGCTTTACCAATGGAGTGCACTGTATACATGCATGTTCAGAAGGACGGCTATAGTCGCCACTGCATTCTTTAGCAACAACTCTCCAGTGAAAGTAAATATATTTCTTCTCGGTATTTCGAAGAAAGATGCAAAACGTGCTCCACGCTTATTCTCCAGTGGCACCTTGGCTACTACACAGAACAGTACGTGCCCACTGCCCGCGGATTCGACACCTTTTACGGCTACTACAATGGCGAAGAAGACTACTACAACCACACCCTCCCTGTGCCGCAGGTATGACATATTCTTTATTTGTCTAGACCTCGATGTCCTTAGAGGGCGTTGCGCGTTATCACCTCTCAGCGCTTCACTTTGTCGAGCATGAAACAGTGCAACGTCCCGGGGCGTGTGCTTAAGCGGTCAAAGTAGAAATTTTCTTGAGCACGGGGTGTTGCTGTAGCCAGCGCTTCGAGAAACCATCTTGTATTCTTCCAGACTGCAGCAAGCAGATCTGTCTTCTTAACAATTGTTGGATTTTAACATCGGGAAACCAGAATATGATTGCTAGACGACATAGGGAAGGACTCCGGAAAATTTGTTGGTGTTGTTTAACGTGCGCTGACATTGCACTGCACAAGGGCTTTTACCGTTTTGCCTCCGTTGAAATGTGGCTGCCGCAGCCAGGATCGAACGTGCGACCTTTGGGTCAGCAGTCGAGCACCATAACCACTGCTCCACTGCGGCGAACAGTGAGCCAGTGAGTGAGTGAGTGAGTGTATATATATATATATATATATATATAATATATATATATATAATATATATATATATATATAGTGTATGTGCGTGTGCGCGTGTGTGTGTGTGTGGTGTGTGTGTGTGTGTGTGTGTGTGTGTGTGTGTGTGTGTGTGTGTGTGTGTGTGGTGTGTGTGTGTGTGTGGTGTGTGTGTGTGTGTGTGTGTGTGTGCGTGATCCAGCCAAATGGACCTTTCTGGTCCATTTGGCTGGATCAATCAACTAACCGCTCAATGCACTGTGGTCAATATGCGTACACACGCACACATATAAACAAACGCACAAAGACACACAAAATGTGACTGACCACCCCCGATTAAACACCCAGGTAGTTTTTTTGCTACAGCCCTGTACGCAGTTCACAATGAACGAAAAAACTGCCATGCTGAAAAGGTTGCTCAAACAGAATGGCCATAACAGATATTTAGCATGTACAGATGGGTTCACAGCTAATGGGAACACTTGCATGCAGGACATGTCCGGATTTCGCTCTCCTGCAAATGCATACTAGCTTGCATTCACATTAGACTGTGGCACTAGGGCATTATGACTTTTTTTGCGAAATAGTGTAATGCAGAAACAATCCTACCTCATCCATTTGCCTTCGGGGGGGGGGGGGGCAGCAAAAATTTAAGGGACCCTAAAGCTTCGTATTTAGGAGTTGAACGTGATAGCAACATCCTGTGCCTAGTGAGTACTTCAAACACATAGTGCATGAAACCTTTTCGAATTCGCTATGCGCTTCCTATACGTGACCTTAAGAAAATAGGCGTCGTAGCGTGTGTGCCTTTTGTAGGGGGGTACCGTCTTTCAACCGTGCAGCCACTATGATAATCACGTATTTTGACGCCCGTTGACAATGGACGCTTGTACCAGGCATTATTACTGCAATATTTGATGTTGCAAGTGTTGCATGAGTGGCGACACAATCTTCGCAGCTCTCAGCGCAGCCTCCACTTCGCTATCATTTCGCTCGGCGTGACACGGCTGCACAATGCGCATCACAATCAGATAAGCCACAGCGCCGATAATCATCCGAGGCATACGTCACCGGCGGTGGCTACAAAACTGGGCTGCAAGCTCGCAGGAGGATAGATTGTTTCTCTAACCGTTAGAGTGCAGCATCAGCATGCTTGCCCTGCTGCTGGTACCACGTTAATAAACTATGATTGCGTTTTATGTTGGGATCCATCCTTCATCGACTCCGCATCCCTCATCTGGTGACCCGGACATGATGATGATACAGAACACATGTTTTTGTGAAGCATGAAAGCTACTTTCACTTCATTTTCAAGCAGATGAAGTTCTTTTCACTGTTTTCACAAGCATAGGCGTGGCTAAGTGGCATAAGTTTGCCACGCAAACGACCCTGGTGCGATCCTCACTCACACCCAAACAACCCTGGTTCGGTCCTTACTTTGCTGCAGGGTTTGTATTATTTATTTATTGTATTGTTCTCGATTTTTCGATCACGCATAAACTCCCGTGTGCTTAGATTTAGGTGCACGTTAAAGAACCCCAGGTGGTCGAAATTTCCGGAGTCCTCCACTACGGCGTCTCTCATAATCATATGGTGGTTTTGGGACGTTAAACCCCACATATCAATCAATCAATCGATCACGCATAAAATTTTTCGCTCACCACCACCAACGCCAACACCCGAATTTCCGCGAAACGAGCTCTTTAACGTTATCACGTTAGTATAGAAAAAGGTCGTTCGAGTGTTCGCCCAATGGAGTATATACTGTATACATGCATGTTCAGAATGACGGCTATAGTCGCCACTGTATTCTTTAGCAGCAACTCTCCAGTGAAAGTAAATATATTTCTTCTCAGTATTTCGAAGAAAGATGCAAAACGTGCTCCACGCTTATTCTCCAGTGGCACCTTGGCTACTACACGGAACAGTACGTGCCCACTGCCCGCGGATTCGACACCTTTTACGGCTACTACAATGGCGAAGAAGACTACTACAACCACACCCTCCCTGTGCCGCAGGTATGACATATTCTTTATTTGTCTAGACCTCGATGTCCTTAGAGGGAGTTGCGCGTTGTCACCTCTCAGCGCTTCACTTTGTCGAGCATGAAACAGTGCAACGTCCCGGGGCGTGTACTTAAGCGGTCAAAGTAGAAATTTTCTTGGGCATGGTGTGTTGCTTCAGCCAACGCTTCGAGAAACCATCTTGTATTCTTCCAGACTGCAACAAGCAGATCTGTTTTCTTAACAATTGTTGGGTTTTAACATCGGGAAACCACAATATGATTGCCAGACGACATAGTGAAGGACTCCGGAAAATTTGATCATTTGGTGTTGTTTAACGTGCGCTGACATTGCACAGCACAAGGGCCTTTACTGTTTTGCCTCCATTGAAATGTGACTGCCGCAGCCAGGATCGAACGTGCGACCTTTGGGTCAGCAGTCGAGCACATATATATATAATATATATATATATATATATATATATATATATATATATATATATATATATATATAATATATATATAGTGTATGTGCGTGTGCGCGTGGTGTGTGTGTGTGTGTGTGTTGTGTGTGTGTGTGTGTGTGTGTGTGTGTGTGTGTGTGTGTGTGTGTGTGTGTGTGTGTGTGTGTGTGTGGTGTGTGTGTGTGTGTGTGTGCGTGATCCAGCCAAATGGACCCTTTCTGGTCCATTTGGCTGGATCAATCAACTAACCGCTCAATGCACTGTGGTCAATATGCGTACACACGCACACATATAAACAAACGCACAAAGACACACAAAATGTGACTGACCACCCCCGATTAAACACCCAGGTAGTTTTTTTGCTACAGCCCTGTACGCAGTTCACAATGAACGAAAAAACTGCCGTGCTGAAAAGGTTGCTCAAACAGAATGGCCATAACAGATATTTAGCATGTACAGATGGGTTCACAGCTAATGGGAACACTTGCATGCAGGACATGTCCGGATTTCGCTCTCCTGCAAATGCATACTAGCTTGCATTCACATTAGACTGTGGCACTAGGGCATTATGACTTTTTTTTGCGAAATAGTGTAATGCAGAAACAATCCTACCTCATCCATTTGCCTTCGGGGGGGGGGGGGGCAGCAAAAATTTAAGGGACCCTAAAGCTTCGTATTTAGGAGTTGAACGTGATAGCAACATCCTGTGCCTAGTGAGTACTTCAAACACATAGTGCATGAAACCTTTTCGAATTCGCTATGCGCTTCCTATACGTGACCTTAAGAAAATAGGCGTCGTAGCGTGTGTGCCTTTTGTAGGGGGGTACCGTCTTTCAACCGTGCAGCCACTATGATAATCACGTATTTTGACGCCCGTTGACAATGGACGCTTGTACCAGGCATTATTACTGCAATATTTGATGTTGCAAGTGTTGCATGAGTGGCGACACAATCTTCGCAGCTCTCAGCGCAGCCTCCACTTCGCTATCATTTCGCTCGGCGTGACACGGCTGCACAATGCGCATCACAATCAGATAAGCCACAGCGCCGATAATCATCCGAGGCATACGTCACTGGCGGCAGCCACAAAACAGGGCTGCAAGCTCGCAGGAGGATAGATTGTTTCTCTAACCGTTCGAGCGCAGCATCAGCATGCTTGCCCTGCTGCTGGTACCACGTTAATAAACTATGGTTGCGTTTTATGTTGGGATCCGTCCTTCATCGACTCCGCATCCGTCATCTGGTGACCCTGACGTGATGATACAGGAAACGTGTTTTTGTGAAGCATGAAAGCTACTTTCACTGCATTTTCGAGCATATGAAGTTATTTTCACTGTTTTCACAAGCATAGGCGTGATGAAGTGGCATAAGTTTGCCATGCAAACGACCCTGGTGCAATCCTCACTCGCACCCACACAACCCTGGTTCGGTCCTTACTTTGCTGCAGGGTTTCTATTATTTATTTATTGTATTGTTCTCGATTTTTCGATCACGCATAAAATTTTTCGCTGACCACCACCAACGCCGACACCCGAATTTCCGCGAAACGAGCTCTTTAACGTTATCACGTTAGTATAGAAAAAGGTCGTTCGAGTGTTCGCTTTACCAATGAAGTGCATGTTCAGAATGACGGCTATAGTCACCACTGTATTCTTTAGCAGCAACTCTCCAGTGAAAGTAAATATATTTCTTCTCGGTATTTCGAAGAAAGATGCAAAACGTGCTCCACGCTTATTCTCCAGTGGCACCTTGGCTACTACACGGAACAGTACGTGCCCACTGCCCGCGGATTCGACACCTTTTACGGCTACTACAATGGCGAAGAAGACTACTACAACCACACCCTCCCTGTGCCGCAGGTATGACATATCCTTTATTTGTCTAGACCTCGATGTCCTTAGAGGCAGTTGCGCGTTATCACCTCTCAGCGCTTCTCTTTGTCGAGCATGAAACAGCGCAACGTCCCGGGGTGTGTACTTAAGCGGTTAAAGTAGAAATCGTCTTGAGCACGGGGTGTTGCTGCAGCCAACGCTTCGAGAAACCATCTTGTATTCTTCCAGACTGCAACAAGCAGATCTGTCTTCTTAACAATTGTTGGGTTTTAACATCGAGAAACCACAATATGATTGCTAGACGACATAGTGAAGGACTCCGGAAAATTTGATCATTTGGTGTTGTTTAACGTGCGCTGACATTGCACAGCACAAGGGCCTTTACCGTTTTGCCTCCATTCAAATGTGACTGCCGCAGCCAGGATCGAACGCGCAACCTTTGGGTCAGCAGTCGAGCACCATAACCACTGCTCCACTGCGGCGAACAGTGAGCCAGTGAGCGAATGAGTGAGTGAGTGAGTGAGTCATCCAGCCAGTGCGGTGGCCTCTAGTGTATTATGGAATGCGTACTTTCATACACTGTGCAGTTTCGTACAACTCCAGCAGTCTCTTATCCTAGGTTTCTTCTGATCAAGCAGGGCAACTCCTTTTAAAAACGTTGTTGCTCAAGAGCTTGACTAAAGAGAACGAATGCGCTCTTTTTTTTTTTTTTGAAACCCTTGTGATTTACAGCTTGCTTATCATGCGCTAGTTCTTCGACCACACTTGTGAAGATGGTTGGTTTCCACTGAAGCACCGTGTTGGCGGGATTTTCTGCACCATTATCATATGCTTATAACTGTTTATAGGTAAGCCTGGGTTTGCGTAAAGAAGACGCTCATTAGATGCGAAGCAGCTCTTTGACTAGCCTGTGTAACGCTGTCAGTCCGTGTCTCCGTGCCAACGCGCCGCACCATGCACCCCTAGCTGCAGTTGCTGGAACAATGCCAATTAGGTCAAGTCACAGCTGCGCGTTGAGGTCACTCTCTCTCCCTCACCCGAAGCAGCTGCTGGCACCTCCGCCTGCTCGCAACACACTTCTCTCTCGCTTCACCCTCTCCACAGCCGGCAACGCTCAACCGCGCGTCGAGTGGCTCGTTTATCTGCGATCAAACTTACACGAAACCCAAGCCGCCTCTCGCGTCTTTGCGTTTCAAACAAACGTTTACTCGAATAAATGCTACACCGAGTTTCTTTTCAAACCGTTCTCCAGCACACGCGTCGACGCTCTTTTCAACTGGGCCGACGCCGTGCAAACCGCTGCTGCTTCACATCCCATCGGGTTTTCCTTCGGCGAGATGGTTTATAATTTGTTTGCGAGTTTCTGAGAGTTTCTCGGACCTGTCAAACTACAGAACTTCATTTCCGTTTTCTTCTCTTATGTTTGTATAACACTGATTCTACTATATTCGCATATATTAGGTGGCCTGGTGCCTTGCTTGATGTTTAAGTCAATACATCCCTAATTTTTTGCACCTCCATAGAGACTTCAAAACCAAAATTTATAAAGAAAAGCTGAGACGAACATCAGTCTCAAGCAATCGATAAACTGCCCCAATACCAGAAAAAGAATTAGCAGATGGGCACTTCAGGGAGTGAAAAGTTTTGGCGACGCAGTGCGTAGAGTGGTCAGGAAATCCTATCACAAGGCTTTTTTTAATTTTTTCTATTTTGTTTAGGTGCGCGTAAAAAGAAACCGACACGGTCAAAATTTCCTGAGCCCTTCACTACGACATCTCTCATAATCATATCGTGGTTTTTAGACGTGAAACTTTAGAGATTATTATCGCTTACTTTGTTTATCTTATCTAAAAAGTCACAGCCTGCCGACCGAAACTAAACTGATACACATAAACTTACTCTTATAAAAAAATTCGAGAGGGTAACTTGATAGCATGCTAGCTACTTTTCTCTTGATATGACGTTCATGTTTTACGCATGCGATTATGGTCATTTGCAAAAGAAATTGTCGATATTGAAATGTGCAGATTGATTTACAGACGCAACTGCTCATAAGTATTTTTAGTGTTATTGCAGTCTTTGCACAAGGGCAAGCGTTATATTTATTTATTTATTTATTTATTTATTTATTTATTTATTTATTTATTTATTTATTTGTACCCTCAAGACCTACAGGCATTTCAGAGGGGAGTGGGTTACAAGGTTATACAAAAAACTAAAAAGCAGCAACAAAAGTAGTAAGCAGATAAGTACAAACATACATGGGACCTAATCATACAATGTTAGCTAGTGCTGCACGAAACTGATGGTTGTCTTCGATTGCGGCGGTCAGTCCGGGAAGGTGGTTCCAATCTTGTGACGTGCGAGGAATAAATGACTGAAAGAAGGCATTGGTGTTGCATGGTATTGTTCCTACTTTGTGTCGGTGATCCATACGAGAAGAAATATATGAAGGAGGAGTAATTAACTCACTGAATAGGGGCGAATTATGGTAGTAAATTTTGTGAAAGAGACAGAGGCGAGAGTGTTTGCGGCGCGAAGTTAGAGTAGGTAATTGAAGCAAGTTTTTCATGGACGTGACACTTGCCGCACGAGTGAAATTACCGAGAATGAAACGTGCTGCGTTGTTCTGCACGAGCTCAAGTGATGTCACCAGATAGTCATGGCTCGGGTCCCAAATGGATGATGCATATTCGAGTTTAGAACGAACCAATGATTTATACAAAAGTGTTTTTAAAGAGGTAGGTGCAGAAAAGAAGTTGCGGCGAAGGTAGCCAAGCAGGCGATTAGCATTATTAATAACGGTATTATTATGAAGTGACCAGGTAAGATCAGTTGTTATGTGAATTCCCAGGTATCGGTACGACGTCACAGGTTCAAGAAGTGTGTTGTTAAGGTAATAGGAACCCGTCGAAAGGGCTGTTCTTGAAATGCGTAAGACTTTGCATTTAGTTGTATTAAGTTCCATTAACCATTGCTCACACCAGTTAGAAATTGCATTAATGTCCGATTGCAGTGCCGTAACGTCGTTATCGTTGTTAATTTCTCGAAAAATAACACAGTCATCTGCAAACAAGTGAATATTAGAGAGAACACAGCTAGGTAGGTCATTAATGTGTATCAAAAACAAAAGTGGTCCCAAGACAGAGCCCTGGGGAACGCCGGAATGAACAGAACTGGGTGAAGAGTCATAGTTATTGGCTGTGACGAACTGGAAACGATTAGAAAGAAAATACTCAATCCATGCAAACAACTTAGGATCTAGATTTAACTTGCTTAGTTTGTAAAGGAGTAGTTTGTGAAACACTTTGTCAAAAGCCTTGGAGAAGTCGAGGAAGATACAATCAGCGGATGAACGGCGATCTAAAATTAAGTGTAGCTTGTGGGTTAACGAAAGCAATTGGGTCTCACACGAGAACTTCTTTCGAAAACCATGTTGCGTGGGTGAGAAGAAAGAGTTAAATTCAAGAAATTTGACCAGATGGGAAAAAATTACATGTTCGAGAATTTTGCATGGAATGCTTGTTAGTGATATGGGTCGGAAATTGTTAGGCGTATGTTTGTTACCGGACTTATGGAGTGGCACCACCTTCCCGACTTCCCAATCCGCCGGCAGGATGCTCGTGTCGAGGGTCCGCTGGAATATTTTGCACAAAATAATAGAGGTATACACAACAGTACTTTTTAAGAACTTCGTATTAATAAGGTCAACACCGGGGCTCGATGAGGGTTTCAGTGACTGGATTATTTTACTTACACCACCTGGGTCAGTAACGATGGGGTCCATGGAGAGATAATTACAGTTCTGAAGTTCAGGTATTGAGGGGTTAGAAGAAACAACAAAGTTCTGGCAAAAAACTGCATTGAGTAGGGAAGAACATTCGCTACTGGGTATAATGGAACCATCTGGCCCAGTCAATGTAATACTATTCGTTTTAGAAGGAGTGATCACACGCCAAAATTTTTTAGGGTCGTTAATAAGCATAGAAGGAAGGGTGCGCTGAAGAAAGTGCGATTTGGCAAGTTTTACTGCTGCAATGTATGCTTTGTTGGCGGTTGTGTATGCGTTTCATCGGTAATCATTCAGGGATTTTTTGGCCAAACGATAGCAGCGCTTTTTTCGATTAGACAGCCTGTTTAACTGCTTGTTGTACCAAGGCGCCTCCGGGTTAGAATTTATTGTGCGCAGAGGGATGTATTTATCAGTTAGTTCGTGAACTTTTTTTCAGATGAAAAACTTCCGGCCAATAAAATAACGCACACAGGAAACGAAGAAGGAGACAGGAAAGAGGCCAGACTACCAACTGTTTATTCACATATGCGTGGCTCAAGTATATATACTCATACGGTCACATGGTGAAGCTAAGTGCTCTTTAAAAAAATAACCAAAAATTGCCCAAAGTAATAAACTGACTCATAATCATTCAAAGCTTTCTTCGCTCTACTAATCGCTACAGATTACAAACAAGATTCTAGGAACGTGTTTTCCTTCCTGCGCAGTGTCACGGAGCTATCGCTGCAGCATGCTTCACCACTCTTTGCAATATGAAAAGCTTCCAAAATTTCCCGTGCCAATTTTTCATGGCTTTTGCCTAAAATCTTGATTTCGTTCAGCAGTGGCTTACAATTGCACTGTTTACAATGAAGGGCTAGATTGGAGCCTGTGCCTTTCTCAAGTGATTTGAAATGTTCCCAGGCCCTAAAATTCACACAACGCCCTGTTTGGCCTATGTATAACATCCCGCACGTCAATGGAATTGCATACACCACGCCAACAACACACTTCACAAAAACCTTCCCATGCTTCGCCTCACACTGAAACTTCTTCTTTTTCCCGATGCGTGCACACAAACCACCCAATTTCCTTGGTGCGGAAAATACCACGGACACTCCAAACCTGAACGCCACTTTTTTCAAGCCATGCGCTACACGGTGCGTATAGGGCAACACCTGTGGTATCCTCTGCTCTGGACCTGTCTGTTTGGTTTTCTTTTTTCCTTTCATTTTTTGTAGTAACGTTTCAGCAACAGCTGACAAAACAGAACTGGGAAAGCCAGCGTTTTTTAGTCTCTCTATCTGGGCGGTGAAGCTCGTCTCAAGCATGTGCTCACATGACTTTGTCAGGGCAGATTCAAGGCAAAGAGAACCGATGGCCCTCTTTACCGTTTTAGAGTGTGAAGAGTTATACGGTAACAGCTCTTTCTTTGCTCTTGGCGAATACATCCAACACACGTTTCCATCACAACATCTAATGTTTATGTCTAAAAATTGGAGGCTATTGTTCAGCGGCACCTCATGCGTAAAACTCAGGCCTTTCCCTAGGTTTTTAAAGTAGCATAATACGCTTTGTACGGTGTTGTCATAAGTCAGATTAAAATCAGCTGCTAAAACTACCAAAAAGTCATCCACGTATCTAAAAATTTGCAGGACAGTGCCTTTGTCAAACGTGGATTCTAAATCCCGGTCAATGGAAGATAAAAAAATATTACACAGCACAGGGGCAACGCAAGATCCAATGCATATCCCTTTCTTTTGAACAAACAAGCCTGAGTCAAAGGAAACAACCGTCGCCCGAAGGTAAAACTCGAGGAGCGACATAAACTTGTCCACACTAATGCCCACAGAATTTTGAAATGCAACAGTTCCATTACACTCAATGCACTCTTGGACAGACTTAAACAGCTCTGTATGCGGTACAGAGTAGAACAAATCCTCGACATCAATAGAAAATAAAAAACCTATTTCCTTCTGCTTCTTTTTTAGAAAAGCAATGACATCTGTCGAATTCTTTGTTAAGAATGGGTCCCGCAACTCGAGCCCCCGCAAGTGGTCAAATAAAAAAGAGCTAACTTGTTGTAACCAAGTACCGCGTTCACTGACGATACACCTGAATGGCATGTGTGGCTTGTGTGTCTTCACCACGAAGAATACGTCCAGAGTTCCTTTCTTGCATTTCCTGATGTCACTGGCTAACCTAGGAAGCTGCATCCCGTTGCACATAGCTATCGCTTTAGTCTTCACTCTGCAAGTTTTGCTGCTCACCTGTACAAAGTTCTTCGATAAAGCTTCAGTGGCCTTTTCCTTGTACATTGTCGCAGACATCACCACGAATCCGCCTTCTTTATCTCCTTGTAGTAGTCGAAGGTTGTTCCTTTCAAAGTAGGAGACGACAATTGCAAATTTTTAGATACGTGGATGACTTTTTGGTAGTTTTAGCAGCTGATTTTAATCTGACTTATGACAACACCGTACAAAGCGTATTATGCTACTTTAAAAACCTAGGGAAAGGCCTGAGTTTTACGCATGAGGTGCCGCTGAACAATAGCCTCCAATTTTTAGACATAAACATTAGATGTTGTGATGGAAACGTGTGTTGGATGTATTCGCCAAGAGCAAAGAAAGAGCTGTTACCGTATAACTCTTCACACTCTAAAACGGTAAAGAGGGCCATCGGTTCTCTTTGCCTTGAATCTGCCCTGACAAAGTCATGTGAGCACATGCTTGAGACGAGCTTCACCGCCCAGATAGAGAGACTAAAAAACGCTGGCTTTCCCAGTTCTGTTTTGTCAGCTGTTGCTGAAACGTTACTACAAAAAATGAAAGGAAAAAAGAAAACCAAACAGACAGGTCCAGAGCAGAGGATACCACAGGTGTTGCCCTATACGCACCGTGTAGCGCATGGCTTGAAAAAAGTGGCGTTCAGGTTTGGAGTGTCCGTGGTATTTTCCGCACCAAGGAAATTGGGTGGTTTGTGTGCACGCATCGGGAAAAAGAAGAAGTTTCAGTGTGAGGCGAAGCATGGGAAGGTTTTTGTGAAGTGTGTTGTTGGCGTGGTGTATGCAATTCCATTGACGTGCGGGATGTTATACATAGGCCAAACAGGGCGTTGTGTGAATTTTAGGGCCTGGGAACATTTCAAATCACTTGAGAAAGGCACAGGCTCCAATCTAGCCCTTCATTGTAAACAGTGCAATTGTAAGCCACTGCTGAACGAAATCAAGATTTTAGGCAAAAGCCATGAAAAATTGGCACGGGAAATTTTGGAAGCTTTTCATATTGCAAAGAGTGGTGAAGCATGCTGCAGCGATAGCTCCGTGACACTGCGCAGGAAGGAAAACACGTTCCTAGAATCTTGTTTGTAATCTGTAGCGATTAGTAGAGCGAAGAAAGCTTTGAATGATTATGAGTCAGTTTATTACTTTGGGCAATTTTTGGTTATTTTTTTAAAGAGCACTTAGCTTCACCATGTGACCGTATGAGTATATATACTTGAGCCACGCATATGTGAATAAACAGTTGGTAGTCTGGCCTCTTTCCTGTCTCCTTCTTCGTTTCCTGTGTGCGTTATTTTATTGGCCGGAAGTTTTTCATCTGAAGCAATGCACCAACTAGCCCAACAACGAGTATTATTGAAATATCTTTCGTGAACTTTATTTTTAAATAGGTTCCAGTTTTCTTGAACGGCACGCGTATCAAAATGCAACAAGAAAATGTCCAGAAAGCAAGCTAGTTCGTTGTTAATAGTTTCAAAGTCTGCTCTTGAGTAGTCGCGAATTTGCTTAGTTGAGGTCGTAGCCTTGCTTAGTGGAACGTTTATATTAAATGAAAGGAGCGAGTGGTCGCTCAGACCGGGTAAGTATGAAATCGGGGAAGCAAAATTAGCGTGCGTAGTTAATATCAAATCTAGTATGTTCGTGGTCTCTTGCGTGGTTCTAGTCGGTTCAGAAACGAGCTGGGAAAAAGAAAATAATGAACAAAGATTGAGAAATTCTGTTGTTTGAGATGAAGGTGGTTTGGATGCGGGGGTTTCCGAGGACCAAGAAATATGTGGGAAGTTAAAATCACCCATAAAGAATATAGGAGCAGTGGGGTGTCGTGTAGAAACAATATTCAGCGCATAGTGTAGTTCAGACACAAACGTTGGGGGATATGAAGGTGGACGGTAACAAACGCCCATAACAAATTTCCGGTGCCCAATGTCAACGCAAGACCATACAGATTCTAAATCAGTGTGAACGTGAATTAAGTGAGATGGATAAGACTTTTTGACAGCAAGTAATACGCCACCGCCTTGACGCAAGGTGCGATCGCAGCGATAAATGTTAAAACAGGACACGTCGAAGATTTCACTATCATGAATGTGTGTGTGCAACCATGTTTCAGTGAGTGCTACGATGTCTGCGCTAACGGTGTTAATGACAGAGTTAAGGGATTCCCGTTTGCTTGTTACACTGCGAGTATTTGCAAGAATTACGGAGACACATGGCATCGGTGCTCTAGCTCCCCTCGCGTGTTCCTAGCTGGTAGGCCTGCCGGACAACGCAGACGCACTCGCCAAAAGCGGTGCGGCGGACGTGGCATTGGGAAGTGGCGCAGTAGGTGGCACCCGTTTTATTTCTTTTACGCTGTCAGACACGGTATCGTACATGAAGCACCGGTCATCTATTATTAGTTTGTTATAGCGCAATTGGAATCGGGGAGAGTGGGGTTGGCCTTTGCCGAATTCTACAAGTTTCTTTCTAGCCTGCCTAGTTGCTACTGAGTAATCTTCCGATACCGCAATGTCTTTAGTTTTTAAAACAGCGCGGTCGGAAAGAATCGCTTCCTTCATCTTGAAGCTGCGAAATTTAATGATGACCGGACGAGTTTTGGAGCTGGAAAAGGTACCTATGCGGTGAACGCGATCGACATCGTTTCCAGTAATGGCTTTTCCTGTCGCACTTGATAGTGCAGCTAGCGTCTTCTCCTCTGTGTCTTGCCACGATTCCCGCGAGTCCAGGATGCCATGAACGAGCAGGTTACTTCTCCGTGACCTGTCCTCTAGGTCGTCCAGGCGAGATTGCAAGACTTCCTGCTGCGACATCAGGCGTTCTGCAGCGTCGCTGACCGCCGCCAGGTCACCACTCATCTGCTCTATCACATCCGACTTTGATTCTAAGCATTCAAGACGGCCGAAAATGTCAACCAGCTTTGTTTCTATTGCCTGCTGGCCGGACTTGATTTCTCTGATATCTGTTTGAAGATCCGCTTGCCCTTTAGTTAATGCGATTGTCCGTTCGTTGATGTCTTTGAGTATCTGAAGCATTGTGTTCATTTGCTCCGAGTTCTCATCCTGAGGTTCGTCGGGAGCTGTGGATTGGTTTCGGGGTTTAGAAGGACCAGGGTTAGTCTCTATGTCGCCTGACAGAAGCAGCAACAGCGCGACATCAACGCAATCGAGCAATGTTTCACAAAGCACTTGTGGGCATGGGAGCAGTATCAAAAAGCGATTGTTAGATCGCTGTGCGAAAAGTGAGAATTGATTACGCACCTGCGGGGCGTAGAGAAGAATTTTCGGCATGGTTTCACGAACGCTGCTCCCATGCCCACTAAAGGCAAGTGTGCTGCGTGGCTTGTTTATATCCGTGCGCCACAGTGCTGCCGCCGTCACTTTGGCCGTGTTCCGGGTGAACGTCGAGTTGCTTAGTCGAAGGTTGATACCGTCGCAGCCACGATTGTAGATATCCAGCACGTCATCGCCAGTTGAAGCTTGAAAGGCCTGCCCAGGATCGATGCGCGTAGGACGAAATGGCCAGACGAAAAAGACGGTCAGCAAAACCTGCGGGGCGTAGAGAAGAATTTTCGGCATGGTTTCACGAACGCTGCTCCCATGCCCACACCATAGTAGTAGTAGTCGTTATAATAATAATAATAATAATAATAATAATAATAATAATAATAATAATAATAATAATAATAATAATAATAATAATAATAATAATAATGTATTATTATTTTTTTCATGTAGAAGCACCATTATCTCTACGGAATCAGTAGACACCACAACACGCACCACACATTGAAAGCATGTACTTAATGTATACTTGTTTAGCGTTCAACTGATTGAAGTTCTCGTTTGTGCGCTAATTGGTGAACGAAACGAAACTGTTGATGACAGAGCTCGCAAGTCGGCCTCGACTTCTGGCTCAACAATGAGCCACTCAGGAATGAGACGGGCCAGTATTCGACCACGCTGTTCGGCAAACAAGCAGTCAAGTTGATTCAGGAGCGGGATCCGAAAAAGGTACGTACATTCATTTGCTTGATCTGAAACTATATAGAGTTAACAAGTTCAGTAGAGTAACGGTGCATTCGGCTAGTCGGTGGCAGCCACGCTGTGACTCGATTTACAGAGGTGCTCAGAAGTTGCCAGGCCACTATCGTAAGTAACAAATCATGCAGCGTTCCGGGTTGGGAACTTCTGACGCACCCCTTATAGATTCGAAAGGTACTTTCGGAGCGCCCCAGAGCGCTCTGGCGACACGCTTCTCATTCGGATGGTTAAAACCCAGCGCGCTGGACCAGGTTGAAGGCGATAGCGTCTCAAAGTGCACCGTGCGGGAGCATAGTGCCCTGGTGTAACCAGCCAAATGTGCAGCGATTGCTAGAACATCCCCATGAAAGCTGTCGGAGCCATATGACAACGCCTTAATGCGCGACGACATCTTCATTTGAGCGCTAAAAAGAGAAACGCATGACAGGTCACAGGACAAAAGTCTGAGCTGCCGTCTCTGACGTTCGCATTTTAAGCTCTAGAGTGGAGACAGGTGGGTGTACGAAGAAACTTTGTTTAGCCAGCCCCAATAGGTCACACTGGTGTCCTCTCTTGAAGAGGGCTCCACGTCAAATATTTACCGAATCGCCTAGCAACAAGTTTTTACTGTCTACCATGCAATTCGAACTAAAATGACAGCTGCAACGTGAATATTTAGTCATAAAATGTTACGAAGTTGCCTTTGTGCATTATCAACGACTATTTTATGGTGCTATCCAGTGTGTGGAGCACCCACGTGGGCATTGAAGAGTAAAAACCCCGTTGTGAGGGAATATGGCGATCGTATACATTTTTATGGTACATTAGATTTTGGAATCTTTCATAAATGTACCTAAGATAGAATACAAGCACTGTCAGTAAAATAAACTGGCCAATACGTGATGAGAAAAGAGAAACGTGACGTGCATACCTGATTGTCCTTGTCGTATAGTCCTAAAACTGGAGAACTCAATAGTCTTTTAACACGGTGAGAGCGCTAACGATCACCCGGATGTGCCGCCAGTCACTGTCGTCAGCTCCCACCTCTGCGGTTAAGCAATTATTCTACTCAAACTTTCCTGGTGTACCAATTTATCTGAAATCCATTTCCCGCCCGTTCTCGATTATTTGCGCTATGAGTTGAACGGAAGAGGACGTTGAAAACATGCGGCCAAAAAGAAATGGAAAACTGACAACCACCCATTCTGCGGAATTCCGCAAACTCTTTTGCGTTACTTGCATCGGTGTGCTTCGACTTGTCGATGAATTCGCCCTCACGCTGTCAATTACTCACTTCCTGGTTAGCTCAATTGGTAGAGCGATCATCCCGGTCAAGCGTTGGTGGCGGATTTGAACCACGGAACAGGACGAATTTTTGGCAATTAGAAGTTTCTCTTTCTGACAGATCCGTACAGATTTCCTCGTGTTGTCATGCTACTAATAGATAGTTGTCTGTAATTCCTTTGTTAACCCTTCCACCACCTTGTGCGATTCTGCAGAACTCATTTGCACAGACTGTCAATTTGTGATTACACGTAAAATTCTAATTATGGATCAACTAACTGCGTAAACCAGCCATTTACATGAAAAAACTGTCTGAAAAAACATTATTTGAGGCCCATAAAGGTTGGCCCAACGTTTAAATATGCCTGCGTAACCTTTATTGTTTTCAGCGGCCACAATAGCCTAACTCAGCACACGCCTTCTAACATACAGCATAAACCAAAATGATTCTCCTACATACTGTTATTGATTGATTGATGTGTGGGGTTTAACGTCCCAAAACCACTATTTGATTATGAGAGACGCCGTAGTGGAGGGCTCCGGAAATTTTGACCACCTGGGGTTCTTTAACTACATACTGTTATTCCAGCGAATACAACATACGTCAATAAGTCTGAATAACAAATTACCTAAATTACATAAGCGTATTTCCGAAAACAAGACCACATGCACGATTATCAAAACAGCTGGGCAAGTGCGGATCAAATAAATACCACCTGGAAGCAAACGCAGCGAGCGTAGGTTATCTCGCCGAGATTGGCAGAGAGATCCTTCCTAGTCACTCCTTTGATGTTTGATCAAAAATTTTTGATGCGTCGAAAGCGAACCCAGGAGTGCCGAAATCATTTACAAAATACAATCCAGCGAAATAATTCAAATCGATTACTAAACTAAGGTGAAAATCAATGTCACAAACCACAAGTTTATATATAGAAAAAGTATTTTACCATGGGATAACCAACATTTGAGCGATTGCTAAAGTGCTCAACTTTGCTTTTCTTGTACATGTCTTGATCTTCTATATTCTATCAAGCACAAATGCTAAATCAGTGCTACTTTGAGTAACTTGAAATATTGCTTCTTGCTTTCACCAGCCGCTATTTCTATACCTGTGTTACCAAGCGCCCCATGGAGGCATTCCAGTTGATCTGCAAGCGCCAAGTGAGAACGTCGACAAATTCCCCTACATCGGAGAAAAGAACCGAACGATATTCGCAGGTAAGATGTGAAGTTTGAATTCAGTGCGCACGCTAATAAAAACAAATATCCGATCACCCTGTAGTGGCTGCGTTTTGGCGCACACGGGACCGCTAACCTTCGTCACGAACAACGGAGGCGCACTGGCAGATGCGTAAGTGTAGTTGTTAAGCACAAAAGAGATCGACCACCTGGGGTTCTTTAACGCTGCACCCAAATCTGAGTAACGGGCCTACAACATTTCCGCCTCCATCGGAAATGCAGCCGCCGCAGCCGGGATCCGAACCGCGTAAGTGTAGTTGTTAAACAAGAAGAAAGAACAAAAAGAGAGAGACGAGCACACACTCACAACATATATAAAGCCTGATTGACCTTACATAAAGTTCGGCCAAGACAACCTGCCACAATCAAGTTTATCAACGTGCCAAAACAATGATTATGAATTCTATGAGACGCAGACGTAAGACCACGTAAGTCAACAGTAGCATTTGGAACGCAGATATGCATTGCGCGACAGTCTTATAGAGGGCTCTCTAACGCACTATTATCCATTTCTCATGATAAGAAAAGCATGTATTATTCTGCGGCCTATGTAGCATGCTTTCAGTGAAAACGACGTTCGCAATTGTGAAAAACCATCTCGCTACAGAACTCCCGGCACCACTCTCGCAAATGTAAACTCGGGCTCTTAGAAAGCGAAGGCTCGTGTCACATGTTATACATATTTCGCTTTCGCCGATATACGACCTCGCTGACATTAAGGGCATCTGATACACAACACATGGTGCACGTGGTACACATTGGTTTTCCTCGTTATGTGGAACATGGCAGTGATTTTTTTAGCGCCAGGCGAGCAGACTCTTTCGTTTGTCACTTTTTTTCTTCCGAACCACACGCCTTAGCGTATCGCAAACAGTGGCTGTCCCATGGTCAGGATACCCTGCGATGTTAGGCCTCTCGGCTGGCTTCTCGAAAGTTCCATTCATTTTGTCGAAACAGAAATTCTCCAGCGCTGATCGCAAGGTAATGAACACAATGCCCGTCTTTGCAACGTTCGAATAGCTAGAAACCTAACTGAACAGAGTTTTTTTTTTGCCCAATGATGATATGTTCAGCATACATGGTCGACCTCAAAACACAATGGAAAATCCAGGAACTGCTCACAGGAATCCCGCCGTTACCCTTCATTGAACTTGAGGCCTAGGCCATGGCTACTAAGTAGTGCCAAAACAAAGTTTATAGTTTCCTTACATTGTCACCTTCCTAAAACACCAAGTAACCGTCCACGTAGTGGAATATTTTGAGTCGTATTGCCTGCATCGCCCTGAGCCCAATTCTAATAAATATGGCGCTAAAAGTCGGCGCTACACTTGATCAAAGCACACACAAGATATTTGCACATAAGTTCATCACCGACACCTACTGTAGTGGAGTCCGAATATAGAGCCGAAAATTGCAGAATTTGTTCCACCGACACACAATTTTTTCTAACACTCTGCCAGGTCGTTAAAATCCCTGATGCATACGTGAACGATGCGATTAACCTCTCTTCAAGACAGTTAATATAACAAGTCTTCCACATCAATGCTAGTCATGCCATAGCATGTCGGGTTGTCTTCTTTAAAGGACGTCTCCAAAACACGCAAATCCTCGATTCTGATGATTAATTGATTGATTGATTGATTGATCGATCGATCAATCGACCGATTGATTGATTGATTGATTGATTGATTAATCGATCGATCGATCGATCGATCGATCGATCGATTGATTGATTGATTGATTGATTGATTGATTGATTGATTGATTGATTGATTGATTGATTGTTGGTTTTAACAATCCAAAACCACCATATGATTATGGGAGACGCCGTACTGGAGGGCTCCGGAAATTTCGACCACCTGGGGTTCTTCACCGTGCACCCAAATCTGAGCACACAGGCCTACAACATTTCCACTTCCATCGGAAATGCAGCCGCCACAGCCGGGATTCAATCTCGCGACCTGCGGGTCAGCAGCCGAGTACCTTAGCCACTAGACCACCACGGCGGAGCAATCCTCGATCCTGAACGAATCCTTTACAACTAGTCGTACGAAGCGTTTATGGGGGAATCCGGATATCGCGCTCGGCCACGTGCTTCTTTCGCAAGCTATTGCGTCTAGAAGTACCTAAGACGTGCGTGTTTAAGACGTAAAAAACTTCAAGCGTCATCATTCGGGACTTCTTCACGTCAACGGCCACGTCCTCATTGTCTACCTCCACCACGTAGTCCAAAGCTCGTTGTCTCAGGTCTTGCGCGCTTCTGCCTATTCTTCTGAACTTCTTCGCTGACTTTGGTTTTGTTTTCACACTGCATGTGTCATTATCTATGACCGAAAGTACCCTTCTTCGTCTGAAATCAACACTCTCGGACCGTTCTTTAACAATGCAATCATCAAGTGGGCGTAGACTCACCTGATCATTGGGACTTCCTTTTGTCCTTGCCACTGCTTCAGCATATTCATCCGTAGCTCTGGACCTTTGGTCTTTTGAAACTTTTTTGGAAGCTTCTTTCGAAAAAGCCAACTTATCGATGAGTGATGGCGATCAATGAAAGTCAATCTAGGTGCCCTTAAGAAGGGTTCTCGTGTGCTGTTCCCGTATACCACGGTTTCCAAGAAGAACAAGCGCATTTTCTTTGTGTCTAGGTTGTTTCTTCTTTTTCCTTGGGATGCCGCTCATCTTAACCAAGTTCTGAAGTGATTATTGTCTCGTTCTTCCTTTTACTGTAGTGTACAGGCAATTTCTATCTAGTCTTTGATGTACCTCGCATTTCGCCATCATTCCGGACAAGCATAAGCAATCAGTTGCTGTCGTTCCTTACGTTCACGGCCTTTCGCATGGGTTTAAGTATGATAGAAAATATAGTGTACGCACAGCGCATCGGCAAGCCTTCGAAAGTTTGCAGAAGGGTTAGTGAAAGGAACGAATCTACTAGTCTGCCGCTAAAACATCAGTTCCATGTGCAACGTAAACAGGGAAACCAATGTGTGTCATGCGCAGTAGGCATTGCGTACGATGTTCCCTTAATTTGCTTGAGGTCGTATATCGGTGAAAGAGAAACGTGCCGTAAAAGTATAATACGATCGTTCAGTTTCTAAAAGCGCGGATTTGCATTGGCCAGCGCACTGCCGAGAGTCTTGTTGCCAGCCGGTTTTTCATTATGCGAATGGCATTTTCAGTGAAAGCAGATACACAGGCCGCAGAATAATAGAGGCTTTCTATATCCTGAGAAGAGGAGAACTGCATGTCTGCCAATGCTTTATAAGACTATCGAATGAAGAGTTCGCATAATTACGTTCCATGGGTTACTGTTGACTAACGCGACCTTCCGGGTGCACCTGACTAAACTCGTGGTTTTTATTTCTAGTACATTAACGAGCTTTGACTGCGGCACGTTTTCTTTGCCAAACACTATGCAAGGTCGACCAGGTTTTCAATGAATCGTTTGTGAATCTCCACAAGTCTGTTTTTTTTTCCTTTTTTTCTTGTTTTCCGTGCACTGCGTGGATTGCAGAAAGGTGAACCCAACTCACCGAGCTTTCAACGCTTCTCAGATAGGACATTATTTGTCGTTTTGTAACTTTATGGTAGTTATTGCAACAAGGTGGCAAGTTGGGCTAGTTGGATAACGTTCATGATTGAAAAATGTTTGTTGAAGCGCACTGAAGGCAGACAGACGCACTGAAGACATAAGTGGAAATAAATTGAAGTGGAGGAAAAATAATTTTTCCTTCTCTGAGAACCGGACCCACAACTTCCGAAATACGTGCACGATGCTCTACCAACTGAGTAATGAAGGAGGGTGCTCCCTTGTCAACTTTGCTGGGTATTTCTGCGACTGTAAACCTAGAGCCCCTAGGACTCCTAGAACGACTGTCTTTCTCTCTAAACTATTCAGCATTAAGAACACGTTTTCGAGTGGGTTATCTTATGTGCAATTATTCCCAACTTGACTGTGATCTAGATCTGTCTATGCCACACGCACGGGGACACTTCACTAAAGGTTCCTTCTCAGTCTTGCTACTCCTCGCAAACACACATTTGCGCGCTTCTCAATGTCAGACATCACACAACATCACAATGTCTGATGGTGCTCTACTGCAAGGTAATCAAACTCGCTTGGTATTCAGCGCTCACGTTCGTCATTCACTCGCTTCCTTGCCAACTTCTTTACCTATATTTCTACACTTTAGTGCTTCATGTCGCTCGTTTTAACCATGAACGTAAACCATCTCACCCACATCACTGTGCTCGTTACACAACAATCTGCGCAGGTATGATGGACGCATTGGACCAGTCTGTGGGCAACGTCCTCGAGGCACTGCAGCAGGAGCGCATGCTGGACAACTCGATCATAGTGTTCAGCAGCGACAATGGAGGCTTGCCGTGGGGCAGCCACGCCAGCCGTGGCTTCAACTGGCCCTTGCGGGGCGCAAAGACCACCCTGTGGGAAGGAGGCACACGGGCATCCGCATTCATCTGGTCGCCCCTAATCAGCCGCAGTCGCAGGGTCTCGCACCAGCTCATGCACATCGTCGACTGGCTTCCCACGCTCTACAGAGCCGCTGGTACTTGTCGTGCCAGTCTTTTCATCTACTGATTCGTCGAACATTTGCCAGCCAATATTAGATTACATTCGCCAACACTAGCCAACGTTAGCCAGTGCTAATGATTTCTGGTTGTATGAAAGCAAATACACGGCAGTTGAAGACACGCGATTTAGAAAACTACCTGATAGGATGCATCATGTTTAGGACCTAATGCCTATTGAAAATGGTTGGCAAGTGCTTTTCGGGATGCTCCCATATTTAATCCCAATCGGCCATTCCCTGGAGTGAGAGGATGCCACAGTTTGAAGGTTCTACTTTACTTAATCGCCCCGCCCTGTAACAAAATGTGGGTGAAAGGGTTCAAGCAACACATTGCCTCAAAAAACATAGTAATTAAAATGATCGGTATATCTCATTATTGGGATTCTGACCACAAACGGTTGGGTAATTTTGTCAATTGAAAAGTCCTGCACTACGTCCAAGCATTAACACCCAGGCCTATCGCACACACTCCTCCGCCCAGGCGGAAATCCGTCAAAGATGAGGAACCTCGACGGCCACGATATGTGGCTGCACCTGTGTGCCGACCTGCCTCTCCCGCGTACAGAGATGCTGTACAACATCGATCCAGTGGGCAGCACGGCGGCACTGCGCTACCGCGATTACAAGCTGGTGCTGGGCGTCTCGTCCGGCGGAATGTACGACCAGAGGTTCCAGACGCCCGGAAACTCTCGACCTTATTCGGACCTGGACCGCCTGATGGCAGAGTCTAAGGCAGCGCGCGTACTGCGAGAATTCTACAACACGGGTGCCTTCCTCTTTCCCAGCCAGTGGCGCCAGAGGGCCACGCTCCACTGCGGCCCCACGAAAATCTCGAACTTCGTGGGAGGTGACCCGCCCTACCTGTTCGACTTGTCCAGGGATCCGTGCGAGCAGCACAACCTGGCACCTGACAACCGCGAGGTAATGAGATGCAAGCGTATACGTTCGTTCTTAAGTTTGTTTCAATTCGCTCATTCTGGCAACACGTCTACGAAGGTTAGGACTACAGCTCGACTCCTATACATGACGTGCCACATGAAAAGATGTGCTCAATGCTCATTTGTTTCGGGACCATACAACTCTTCGTCAATATTTAGATGAACTTGTGCATGTGTTTTCCGTCGAACTATCCTACACAATCAACCTGCTATACTTCACAGCCCTCGGGATCTTCAACTGCTTTCGAGATCACCCCTTTTGTCATAATATATTTAGAGCATCGCCATAAACACTGTAAAATATCGTGGGTGATACGAGACTAGAAGATATTGTCTTCCAAAAACTGCTACACTTAGTACTATTTAGTCTCATCTTACCAAACGTCGAAGTGCTTCCACAAATCAAAATTATTTAATGAGCCTATATGTTCTTTCCTTCTATCCAGCTGCTGTCCGTGCTCATTCGGAAACTGGCGAGCTATGCCGTCACATCGGTGGCGCCACGCAACAAGCCCGTAGACCGGAGGTCCTTCCCGCAGTATCACAACGGTACCTGGGCACCTTGGGGGAACGTCGCATCTATTTAGTCCACTCGGCACAATGTTGGACCTGTGCGAAAACCTTCCTGTCCACGAACAAGCCCAGCGTATTTTCGCGCCTAACTTATAATGTACATGTGAATCCACTAGTTTCATGTGAAATTCCGCCCGCGCTGAAAAGGACTTGAGTGCCTGCAGTGAAAAGCGACCGGTCTGCACGAAGGGTCCAGTCATGGTCTGTTCACTGCACAGAGAGGACAGAACGACCCATACTGCCTGGTGTGAAGCGTACGAAAGAACACGTCCTCAATGATTCAACTGAAGGAAGACCACAGCTCCGGACACTTGCAACCACAATTGCCGGGTGGGACGTTCCCCTGTTTTCATAGTCGACTGATGTATACGCAGGCTCGACCCTTTGACAAGCATGCACAAAATGCGCCCTTCTGACATTTTTTTTTTTTAACAAGACGAGTGTATATAGACTGTGCTATGTATAGCAACGCTCGTCACGTCTCCGACCCTGTGTTTCATCGGACAAACGTGCATATGTAGAGCGGACGTGTGTGTGGTCACTTTGTTTCCGTTATGTGTGCGCATTGTGTAACAATTTCACCATCTCTAACTGCCATTATAACTGAATTCATACAAGTTCTACATAAAAATCATGCTGCTCAAAATGGTTTGTCGATGTTGTGTACATATTAGTGTGGCCTGCGTTCATTCAGGACTCCTTAATGTCACCCGCGTTTATCAGGACTGAGTGGTAACTACTCTTGCTAAGCTATGTTGCGTGGCTTCAAAAGCTATTCTGAACATGTGCGTATACCTTCTATCGTGCATTCTATAATTCTCACCTTCTTCCTTTTTTTTTCATTTCTCTTTCCCTACTCCTCGTCTCCTCCTCCTCACACTCACATATTTTCTTCTCACCCCCACTTCCCTTTACCACCCCCTAGCTTTACACTATACAAGACTATACGATATATACTCTGCTAACGCGCCTGGCTATAGCCAAGTGATTACGGCACTCGCCTTCGGATCTTGGGCACACGGATTGGGATTTCGCCTCACCGGGAATTTCTCTTTTTCTCGTTCTGTCTGCACTCTTTCTTCCACCCATCAGAGTTATTGCCCCCCACGCTGTACAAATCGGCGTACGAGTTGTGGGAGCTAAGTCTATGATAGAGGTGATCAAAAAAAACGAAAACAGTGCGTACGTTTTATGATTGCAATTTTCTATCCACGAAACTCGGCAAACGTCTACCTTAAAGCACTGCTTAACAAAAGGCGCGTGCGCATATTTAATTTTTTTTTTCTTTTTCACTCTCCTATCCCCTGAAGGCTCTCCTCGGTTAGGCATTCACCAGCGGTTCCCACCACGTCAGCGCGGAGGCGTATGGTGGCCGGCACATCTATTTTCACTGGTTCTAGCGGTTTTGTTCCGGTAATTCGTTAACTAAAGAAGCTGTGAATTCCGTAGAGTTTGGAACAGTCATTCTAGGCCAGTAACATGTGTGGAGGTTTCGAACTCTACTCCAAAGTGATATGCGAGGTTACACAATGTTCATACAGGCACCGATTTTGTAGGTAGGCATTTATAGGCCCTTTAGGCACTTTGGCACCAACGCTACAAATGAGCACTTATGGGCGCTATAAAAAAAATTTGGTGGATCCCTAGCAGCTTGGGAGTCGATGTTATGCGAATCATATGAACGGAAGGTGACTTTGTTCTAATTTATTTAGTGAATGAAACGTTACAAAGTGGCACTGAAAATATGTATAAATGCATGCACACACGTTAAACAGCCACATATATTTTATATAGCCAGTTTAAAGTAGCGTCATGATGATAGCAGCAACATCGATATTAGCAACACCAGAAGCGGTAAGTTTATAAGAAGCGCTGATGCTCGCGAGGATGGTAGCCCTGGACAGTGCTACATGAATCAACTTCAGTGGATGGTGGTTAAGTTCAGTTCACGTTAACAAGACGTCATGGCTCTATCGTAGCAGTACATATGTAATGTTTGTAAAATTTGATAACCAGCACTGCAACCACAATTGACGTTTCAGAAACATTAGCGTCTATTTGAAAAGTAGTTCCGAGACTTTGCGTGGATGTGTGGTAGAATACTTCATTGCCACGCAGAATGCTGTGGTTTCATTTCTGCTGGGACCCTGACATTTATTCATTGCGTTGGCCGGGTCAACGCTGCCGATGTCGGCTTTTCTTGGCGCTCATGCGTTAAAATTACTCACGCCTGTTCTCGTCGTTCCCGGTTAGATACAAGCTGTCAATCACCTGTGGCACATACCTACCCGCGTGTGCGTGCCAACACGAGGAAATGGAAACTTCCTCAGGGTTTGACAACCCTGAGGGAGGATCCTCCCTCCCTCGAGGAAGGGAAGATCTCGAGACAGACAGACAGACAGACAGACAGACAGACAGACAGACAGACAGACAGACAGACAGACAGACAGACAGACAGACAGACAGATAGATAGATAGATAGATAGATAGATAGATAGATAGATAGATAGATAG